ACACGCGGCGCCATCGAGCGCGCCCAACAATGTCGCCGATACCATCACACCCATAAACACGCCGCCCGAGACGCGCATATCCGTCTTCCCAGCCGACGGCGTGCTGGGCCAACGCTCCACCTACGATGCGCAGCTTGACTCTAAACTCGACAAACGGGCGAGAGCAAAGGGAACGGCGAAATACACCACAATACTGGATAAGGTACGTGAAGGTTATATATACATACATAGATGTGGTCGCCCTGTGACGCTAAGGCTAACTTAACTTGTGTTACAGGGCGACCCATCTCCTCCTCCCGACCCGCGGCTAGCCATTGCTGGCTACACCACTGGCCACTATGTCATCAAGACTTCCTTCGTGGGAGCCCCAAAGTCCAAACTTCGAATAGCACCATATGTTGCTAAGCCGTACTCGTTCGATCAACGCATATCATGCGGTCCAGGACCCGCGACCCAAGTGGTTGTAACAGGATTTGATCCTTTAACACCAGACGCGCAATTGCGTGGTTTCTTCTCCACCTATGGCGAAATAGAGACTCTTCGCAACCAAGTACATCCTGACAATGGTAGCCCACTTGGAATATGTTTGGTCAAGTTTCGCGATACCCCGCCTGCGCGCGGTGTACCAGGGGTCAAAGCAACCACTTCAGCAAAGCGAGCCGAACGAGAAGGCACGAATCAGCGCATTGCGCAACACACCATCAGGGTGAAATCTGATCGCGAAGGCCGGAGATGCCAGAAACTGGTGGATATGGCGGTGCAGCAAACCCGTAAGGAGGAAGAGAAGCAGCGTGTCAAGTTCGCTGCAAAGGCCGCTAGCGCAGCGACACCAGTTATACCGGGGAATTTCGATTTGCCGGCAAACGTGCCCAAAGGCCCGTCTGGAAAGGGCACGCGTCCGCCGATACCGATACCTCGAGAACCTCTATCGAGAAAGGCCGCGCTTTCCTTCCTCATCGAACGCGAACCAATCAAGCCTACACTGAAACGAAAGCCTTATATCTTCATCGCTCACGCATACGTACCCGTCCTCAGCACAACCGTCGATCATCTGAAGAAGCGGTTAAAGAACTTCCGGTGGGCTTCGGTGCGATGCGACCAGACGGGCTACTATGTAACCTTTGAAGAGTCGAAGCGCGGTGAAGATGAGGCCGTTCGATGCTACAAAGAATGCCACATGCAAGCTCTGTTCACGTATGTCATGAACATGGAGTGCAATCAGTATGGCGATCCCAACTACGAGCGTAGTCCAAGCCCAGAACGTGTAGTGGCAGACAAGAAGCGAAAGGCTATTGAAGAGCGAATAGAACAGGAAGAGGCGGAAGATCTTGAGTGGGAAAAGAAGCAAAGGGCAGATTCATTAGATCCTGTACGAGCCGCTTTGGACGTTCTGAAGCAGGAGCTCCAAGAAAAGCTTCTTGGGGACATTAAGACGAAATTGGCGGCGCCCACTATACTCGAACTGCTGGATCCCGATCTCCACGTAGAGAAGCGCCGCAAATTCGATGTCCCCGCTCCTTCTCAGAAGGAAGAGGTTGCGCGGCCACCTGCACTCCTCGCCCCAGGATTCGACGCCTTTGGAGTTGGTACGCCAAAGGGCCGCAATGGCGGTTTCGGTGGTCGCAACGCGCGTAGAGCACTGGGTGCGTTCGATCCCAGTACTAGGCGTGGAAAGAAGCCTCCGAAGGTTGTCAATGCATTCGCAGATGAGCGAAGGAAGGCCTCTGCGCCCAAGCCTCGTGTGGCCCGTGGTCTGCACCGCCAAATGATTGAGATGTTCGAGCCGGAAGAGTCTGATGACGAAAGTCGCAGCCAGCTAACTCGCGGCACTGAAGAGCAAGAGAGCCGACCAATCAGCCGTGCTCCTTCTACCGACGTTGAAGAGGAGGTGGAAGAGTCATCGAGAGCCCATCGTGCCAAACGGCGCCGTCTCGAAACTGGATGGGGTGAAGACAGTGACGAGGAGATGGATGATTCGCATGCTAGGAGTTTGCTTGCCCACTGCATCCACAAGGATCCAGAAAACATGGCGGAGAAAGAGCTGGAGCAAGTACTTGCAATTCTTCCCCGCTCCTCCCCTATTTGGAAGAAGGCAGAGAAAGCACTCAAAGGATTTAGAAGGTTGCGGAAGATTGAGCAAGAGGCGGATGCGATCTTTGGCGTGGAAGCAAGCGCACTTGACAAACTTGAGCCTGAAGTCATCATCACTCAGGACGATGAAGCACTCAAGCCTATCGAGACTACCGAACTACCAGAGACACTTACGTCACTCAAGAAGAAGGCTGTCGCCAAACCCAAGAAAAAGACTAAGAAGCAGCTTGAAGAGGAGGCCAAGGCTGCGAAGGTAGAGGTCACAGAAATCGAGGCTCCTGTGGAGGAGGAGGTTCCTGAAGTCAAGGAAGTCAAGGAGGTCATCGAAGAGGCCGTGGTTGAGGAATCGACACCAGAAGACGACGAGCGAGCCACTTCTGTGCTCTGGGACGTATCCTCCGGAGAGCCTCGGAAGACTGTTGAGGACGACCTCAGTGTTGTAATGGACATTGACGGTTGGCAACACATGCTCAAAGACGACGAGGATTTGCGTCACCTGAAGGCCGCCATGGAGTCCATCAGTGCCGCAAAGATCGGAGACGCACAGTCTTGGGCATGGAAACAGAAGTCTATCAAGCACCTCAACCGCAACGGCGAAGAGGGCGTCTCGCGTACCGAAACAAAGATCGAGGGTTACTACGTTCCTAACTCGACTGGCTCAGCTCGTACAGAAGGCGTCAAGAAAATTCGCGAGTCTGAAAAGTCAAAATACCTACCTCATCGTATTCGCGTACAGAAGGAGCGCGAGGAGCGCCAACGCCGTGCCAAGCAAGAAGAGAAAAGCGTTGTCTCTGTCGAAGGCTTCAAGTTCCACACTAGTGCTAACAAGACGTCCACCGCCAACTCGCGTGCCAATCGCGCTAACAACCGTCGCATGGTCAACGATATCAACATATCCAAGAACATGTCTGGCGCTGAAGGTGACGCCCTCCGCTTCAACCAGCTGAAGAAACGCAAGAAGCTTGTCAAATTCGACCGATCCGCCATTCACAACTGGGGTCTCTACGCCCAAGAACCCATCGCCGTCAACGACATGATCATCGAATACGTAGGCGAGAAGGTTCGCCAGCGGGTTGCCGATCTCAGGGAAGCCAAGTACGACATGCAAGGTGTCGGCTCAAGTTACCTGTTCCGCATTGATGAAGACACGGTTATCGATGCGACCAAGATGGGTGGCATTGCAAGATTCATCAATCATTCTTGTACGCCAAACTGCACGGCCAAGATTATTCGCGTGGATAATACGAAGCGTATCGTCACCCACGCGTTGCGGGATATCAACTCTGGTGAGTACACCTTTTTCTGGCTATTGGATGTTATTGGACTTTTGCTAACGATGCGTGTAGATGAGGAACTTACCTACGACTACAAGTTCGAGCGTGAGATGGACGCGACTGATCGTATTCCTTGTCTTTGCGGTTCCATCGGCTGCAAGGGCTTCCTTAACTAGTGCCATACCAGGCTGCGCTCAATTTCAATTCTGCTTCGGGCCTTTTTGGCACCACTCTTTTGCGCTGGCTTCCTTCAACATCACATTTTTGCAGCGCTGCTCTGTTGCTTTTCTTGTTTCAACACCTACACTGGCGGGAAAAAATTACGGTTCCTTCCCACACGCGTCTTCTTCAGCTTGGATTCGGGAACGCGGAGGAAACTTGCATTGCATGGCGTTTTTACAGTGCTGCTACATTCTTCACATCTCCCCAGCGCCCCCTACTGCACTTCAGGGTGGAGCTCTTGTGTATCATTTTTCGCACAAAAGAAAGGGTGACGATGGCTTCGTCGGTCATATCTTTGGCATTGTATCTGGTGTTTGTCTATTCTCCCTCTTCAAAATTATCATCTGTACTATTTTAACATCTTTTACGAAGAAGAGCCTAAACGGTCGAACAGCGGCAAGATATGGTGCTTCATGGGTTGAGCAGGAAGGGGGAAGGGGGGTTACTTTTTGGCCGCATCACCTTAACCCGTTGGCTATAATCAGTTCGCAAATGGAACAGAATGAGAAGATTAGTCTGCACGAGCATTCTTGTGTCTTGTCGTTTCTATACATTGTCCCTCGCCTCCTCTGCCATGCATTATTCCGACATTTGTTCGGTTCTCGTCTATATGTCCTCGAAAATGACACAGTGTCGACGAGGTAGTGACGTAGGGAAGAAATATCCAACACATTCCTTTTTTCTCTCTCTCTTTCCCCCTACCCAGCACTCGGTTGACTACAATGACATCTAGTTGGGTTTCAGATTACAAGGTTCCTCGAGTAGACTACTCCATGGCCCTGTTGCGAAACCCGCGGCTTGGTAGCATAGGCGCGGGTCATGGGGTCCTAGGGTGTGGTGGAGGCTACGTAGTAAAAGGTCAGTGTGTGGTTAAGATGCTTGGAGTGGATTATGTGAGGGAGGTGAAGATATTAAGGGAAGGTAAGTAGTGATTGCCTGGCTTACACAAAGGTTCCCCCTGGGATTTTGTATCGGCGGTCGTGTCCTTCATGTGAACTGGGTAGTGGAAAGTCGTACCTAGCAGGGTATGTGTGTTAGCCCCGTTATGTTGGATTATGTTCCAATGTGCCACCCTGGAGGTAAGCCAGCGATTAGAGGGGAAGGTTTAAAAGTGTTGGGAGGTAGTCGGGGCGTGGGATAATAGCTATGACACAAGTCAGATGTGCAAAATGAGACAAAAGAAATTAGAGAGCTTACCCAGGAATCTCGGGAAGTGTGTCGTGATTGCAATTTGTGCCGGTGTCATGACCAGGGGCAGACTGCATCCATAAATGTCCAGAAGCGCTGGATATATGACCGGAGGCTCTATAGCTAATCTAAGACTTAGTCGTTGTATTTGATATGGTCTTTTCTAAGGGGTTGCTGAGTACGTTTGTGGTGATACAAGAACAGTCTAGAAGAGTGAAGAGTATCTCAGTGAAGCGACTTGGTCCTTCCTCTCGTCCAGGTCGGCAAGTACGAAGGCTCTGCTATGACGGGGTTCTTTTCAACAGGAGAACTGTTTCGTGGATTTGGAACACGCTCCTTTTCTGTATTCAGCACGGCCTTTACGGTTTTCTTGGCCTTGAATGTGCTCTCTTCAAGAATTAAGGCCCTATCCTCCTTGTACGATATAGCTGCCGACTCTCTCATCGTGTATATTATAAAGAACAAAGAAAATACACACATACCATGGGTCCAGAGACTCTTTCAACTTCTGCTTCTTCAGGATCTCCAGAATAATGGCAGCCTCTTTGATAGCAAAATGATCGGCGATGTGTTGCAGCTGCTTGACACTCCAATCAACTGCAGCCTGTGGACAGCTTTTCGACCAAGCAACAACGTATAGGCTGAATATTAGTATGTAGATGTCAAGGATATGCGGCATACTATGTGTGTGCTGTTTGCCTGTGCTTCCACTCGGCAGTTTATGTTTTGCAACCAAGTCGCAGTCCGTCATTTGTGGGACTGATGCGACAATTTCCTGGACCAGGGTAAAAATTGCAGTTTTCGCACGGGCAGACTGGGCGGTCATCTCGAGATCGGAGCCCATGGCACAAGACTGAATGATCTCCTCGCAAAGGAGCATGCGTGCTATTCGAAGGACGTTCCACATCTGTGTGACCATGCGATCCGGGTACACATCGTATACTAAGGGGAACCCATCCGGTACCAGCCTTTCTCCATGAGCACCATGTAAGTTTCTGCGCTCATATGTCCAAACTGGGCTTGCTTCGAGTGCAACGAGCTCGAGCTCTCGATCGAAATACGCACTTTTGGCTATCCTTTCTTCAGTTGTCATACGACCTTGTCGCATTTCCGCAGCTAGATCGGTGACTTCGAGCATCAACCCACTGAGTTTCCATTTTGGGTAATCTGTGTTGACGAACTGTGCTGCGTGTACTCGTATTTGTCGTATGGCATCGTCCACCGGCTGCCCGGTACTTAGTGAGCAAACCGTTGAGTTCAAAGAAAGTCCCATCAATGCTCGCATCTCTGTGCCTTCCTTGAACGACTCCACACCTCGTAGCTTCACTAATGCAAGTGCGCCTTCAATATGGGCATGTCGCGACGTGTTTATCTCCGAAGCTGACTTCATGATCTTCTCAAAGAGATCCATCAGCAACGCCCCTTCAAAAGTTGACGTGGCTTTTGCTGTCACCGGATCTTGCAGGGCGATGTTGATTTTCCGTAATGCTTCACAGTATTTTCTACGTCCTAGATCTCTTGCCGTCTGCGATGAAACTTGGTGGGACAGGAAGGCAAGGCTGACTGCTTCGATGCATAGAGAAATATGTTTAGGCGCGTGGCTAGAGTCCAGGTAATTATAAAGGAAGTCCCATGTTCGACTGAAATCCGAAACATAGTATGTGAAGAACATATCTCGGCCCATGATAAGAAGATCTTGGGGTAGGTGGCGAACTTTGAGCTTCACTTTGGGTTCACCAGTAAATCGTTGCTTCAGAGGAGTCTTCGTGTTTGCTAGAGCTTTCGTCCGTACAAAATCCGTTTGGTCGCTGATCCGAATGTTGGTTGTGTCCCGATAGCCGGTACATGCTATTCCCACTCGAATGCAGGAGCTGCAGTTGGGCCGTTGCTGATCACACTAGAGAAATCAATACAAGATCAATACTGTGAACTTGAAACATACCCGCAGTCTTCTATCCCTGCATCTCTCGCAAGCCTTGGATGGTTTGCCGCGGAACACCATTGGATCGTTCACGGTTTAAGCTATTCTGCTAAGCTTTAGGGTTATGTATCATCAGTCGATATAACAGCAGTGATACCGAAATGCTGTCTTATTAGGGAATCTCAAAGTGCTAAGATGAAGAAAGTGGTTGTGTGCTGAGTAGGATTGCAGCATATAGATGATCGAAGCTTGCCTTCCGTACTAGTCCCAGGAAGGAATGCATTTCGTGCTGCATCAGCTAGCGCAATGTAAGCAAGAAGGGCTACTATTAGCCAGTCGTGTAGAGCGCAGGTGTCTGATTCTGATATCTGGTCTAGCGGCTGACAGTCCAGATTTATTGACAAAGAGCTCAGCTGCATAGTCTGACAAGCTCCTAGCCAACGATGGTGCGCACATGCGCCTCGAGTGTTGCAGGACTAGGCGTCGCATATCACTGTTGCCGGTGCCTCTATCAATATGCATCGAATTCCAGAGGCGAGAAGTGAGAACGAGTGGAAAGGTGCCATGCGCCCGATAAGACTCATGTCGCGCCTTCCGCCTTCAAAAAGCGCTCATGACGTACTTACTCAAGGCATCGCGAGTTTTCACAAAGGCCATTCAAGTCGATTGGGTTGGTAAGCGAAGCTGAACATGCATTCGCTATATGCAACTGATCTAGATGTCTAATCAACAGCGAAGTCTAATCACTATCGTCGTATTTGTTTCCCACCCCAACATCACCTAGTAGTATATCATCGGGCGCTGGGCCCTGTGATTTCTTACCCACTCTGTTTCTACGCGGAAGAAGATCCATATCCATCTTCGCAATACCTCGAGAACCTCCATCGTAAAGATTCCTCCTTCTAAGTCGTTGAAATGATCCAGATGCACACTGAGTTTCAAACTCCACGTACACCTCAGCATTGCATCTACGACAATGGCTGCATAGTAGAACTCCTTGGCATGGAACCAGCGATGCCGTCTTAAACCCCATGGGTATTCGGGACTATCCCGAGTACGAGCATTAGAAAACAAAGTGAGGTCCCAATCTTTAGCTACGTCCCAGTAGTAGGAGTAACCAGAGTTGACCACCACTGCGACGAGCCACATATGGAACAGGGTCGCTTCCGAAACGCCAAAACGTGAAGGGTCGGGCGAGCGTTGCAAAGCGCTGAGTACGATAACCGGGAATGCGGTCGAGTACTTCAGTGCGTTGGCCAGATGCTGGCCACCCCATCCCGTTGCCGGACTGATCTGCCCGGTTTGCTTGTTCGCTTTCTGAACACGATAGTACTCGGTGATACACTGCCGGAGGCGGATCATCGACGGTACAGCGATGATGAAGGGAACCCAGAAAGCGCCACCGCAGTTTCTGTTCGGAGGTCCTGTTGAACTGTGCGAGGACGAGAAGAACATGCACAGTGAGACAAAAAGGTCTCCCAGCACCTTGGCATAACTTGTCAATGCATCTGCGAGCAGAATGTCCCCAAACTTCCCATCGTGCGCTTCTGCGATGCCGCCAATGGATATGCGCTTCAGCGTCGCCAGCGTACGAGACCGCCCATTGCGACTAACAAACGGCAGCGGTACTACGAAGCCAATGACCAGTACTAGTAGGTATAGGTTTGGTAGAATTTCCCAGCCTGCGATGTCTTTGGGACTGCCGTGTGTAAGGGCCCAAAATAGGAACAGCGAGAGCGCAAGCGGGATGGAGAGGAATGTGGCGATACGGTAGCAGGAGAGGTGGTGCGGTATATGGCGCGGCGAGGTGCGGCCAGGGTAGCGGATGAGACTTGGGACGTCTATCTTGATGAGAGTGAGGTAGTGGAGGTTTAGACCCCATGCCCATATGCCTATGCAGTTCTAGTTAGCGTAAGAATCAATTACCGGTACCTAGCGTGGGTTTGGGTACCTAGAACTATGATCAGGGCGACGCGATATGGTAGAGGTAGCACGCGACTGAAGCCATCGATTTCTGGCTCAACGGCTGGATCACCGTCCATTTCTCGAAAGCGCGATTGGGTCCGTAACCGTTGCTGTGTCCCAGCCTGTTTTCTGCCGTATGATCATCAAGCTCCTCAATATGAACAACACGCTCAAATTGATCCTCGTCTTCCTAGGTGTTCTCGGTCGTGTTTGCGCAAAGGGGAAACAGAGCGCGATAGCGTGTCCACTTCCCCGAGGCGATCACACTAGCATCAATTCTACAAGCCACACCTCGAGCCGCCGCTGTGTTACGTCAGCTTGAGCTTCAGCCTCAAGCGAACTAGCTGGATTGTGCCTGGCCGAACGGGTCTTTGGTTTGTGCGACGACCGCGGGAGCTTTGCCTAAAGTATGAGGCCATGACGCGATCATCGCGACGACAAAGTGACGATTCTCCGCTGTGTGTCATTGGGTACCCGAATTCAAAAGGGAAAACAACGCCCAGATCTCTAGACTTATTGCACTACTTGCTTCTTCTCCACAATCCAAGGTTCCGTTGACAGTTCCTACTTCTTGCGTCACACCACCTCGCACGACACAAACCACTTTCCACGTCAACCTCGACATTGTCCTTCTACCATCTCAACTATCGAAGAAAGACAGAGCGCAATCATGTCACCTCTCTCTGTTCCCAAAATCTTCATGGCCGGCGGTGCCGTCGGTTTCGGCTACTACCTCTTCATGCGCCAATACTGGTTCCCCAACCCATACAAGACACAGGGCGTCCAAAACATTGAGGACCGTTTCTCATCCGGCGGAGGCCACCCTACGCACACACCTGCTGGAGGCACCCAGCGTGGTACGAGTAATGAGATCCCCAGACTTAAAACCCTGGAAGTACAGAGAACGGAGTTTGCTGACTTTTATTTTGTAGGCTCTGCGACCAACAACGAGGGAAGGCACGAGGGTCCAAACAGGGGTCCGGACTCAGAGCACTTCAAGAAGAACATTAACGAACAGCAGAGTGAGGTGCGTGGAGCAGTAGTCCGAAGATTCGAAGCTGTGCTAACACATGATAGCCTGTCTGGCCGGACAAATTCTACGAGGTACAATACAACAACCGCAAGGGCAAATAAGCGCATCCGAACCGATTGAACGAACACATAAAATTATGGCAATTTATAGTCAAGGGGTAGCGGGCATCTGATGCATGACATCATTGGCGTTTGGCAGACAAGCGATGCACAATAGCATCCTGTAAATTAGAAAATCATTATTATTGCTGCCAGTCGAGCGCAAAGAGACATCCAACAATGGGGAAATTACACCATCAAACATTCAAAACCTACCTAATGTCGCTCCGTTGCCATTGAACCTCTTGTGCCGATCGATGAAGGGTACTGATGCGCGCATTTGTCCTACAACCATATTGACAAACACATAGCGTCACCCAGCAACAAGACGGCCCGAAGGCATGCAACAAAAGCATATAGCAAGATAAGGTTAATACAAAAACGCCGATATCTATCCACAAGATTGCCAAATCTAGATCTTGGCAGTGCCCGGCTTTCTCGCGGCTGTATTTCTACTAGCATCCACCACGAATCCTACATGATGGCTCAAAGCCACCAGATCTCCCTCGGCATCATGCACAAACACTTCCAAATCCATCCTGCCGTTGAACATCTTCTTCATCTCTACTCTAATCTGCAGCCACTTGACTCCCTCTGTTGGCAGCGACTTCTTAACATCTAGGTTCAGTAGTAGCGTCGGATACCAGAAAGGACCCTCGTCCTTGTTTTTGAACGACTCGACCATTAGCGGAAACATGTCTGCGACAAAGGCAATAGATGAGTTGGTAAAGTTAGTCCCATCGGAGAAGCATATCCATTCGTCAGCGAGATGCGTCGAGGTTTGTTTGTTCCGAGGGAAGTAGAACTGAACTCTCTTTGTTGCCTTTCTAAAGTCGGCATGGGGCAGTTCGGCTTGATACTTCCAATTCGGATCTTCGTCTTTCTCTAGCTTCGAGAAGTCTACTGATGGAATGGGTGGTGAGGGTCGGTATCCGGTATCGTGGCTAAAGCCCGTTTCCGTGTCCATGTTGGAGTTTGTGACGTATGCGACGACTTCTTTTCGACCGTCCTGCTCCATGGTCACGTGCACGACGGATGTTTGTCGGCCGAGCTTCACATCTTCGACTTTGTATGTGGCAGGTCCGGCTTGCGTCCGTCGTAGGAATTCGACATGGAGGGTTATTGTATGTGGCTGGTTTTGCTTGGACAACGATGTGTTGAAATGCGCTTTGACTACTTCCAATATACTGTAAGTTTGAGCATGGTTAGTGGAGTTGGTAAAAGCAGCGTTTATGAATTCCTACCATCCGGTAACATAACCACCGTTAGGAACTGTTGCCGTTAGTTTACGTGGATGATGTTATCTATGCTGGGGTCTGTCATACCGCTTCCAATGCACCAATCATCGTGTAATGTGCATGAGTACGTGTTGGAGGAGAGCTTCTCCACGGCAGTAGCTTCTTCCCAGCTCGGCATCTTGAACAGCCTAATTCTGCGGAACCGAGACGTAAATGGAGAACTTTAAAAGGTCTATATGGTCAAACTGTCAAGAGTTACCAGTGTCGCAATGCCGTTGACCTCGGAAGGCCAAGTGCTGCTATCGCGCCGCTAACGCCGCAAACAGAAAGAACCTCGGTCATCGCTTCCCCAGTTGTGGGGTGTTACCCCGGTCGCTTATTCGTCACCCAGCCGCCTCCATGCGCATTTCCGCCCTCGGTGTTCCGAGGTCAGTTGGAATGCGGATGGCTATGTCCTTCTTCTCGGTCTGACTTCCTTCTGCTTTCACTCCGCTTCCTCATTAACATTTCTTGGCTGGATATTGATCTTCAACCACTAAGATGCCCTCAGAGAGCCAGTACCCTAGTTTGCCAATTCCAGATGTGGATCTGGTAAGTTCGAATACCCGGAAATAAGCTCATTCCATGCTGACCTTTGTCCTTAATCGTAGTGGGCGTTTCTCTTCGAAAGGAAAGATAGGCCGTATGCGGATGACAAAGGTATGTTCACGTATTGCTTTCAGATAACTAATCACTAAAAAAATGAATAGTAATCTACTTTGACCCGTACACCAAGCGTTCTTACACTTACACTCAAGTTCGAGATGCTGCCATAAACTTCGGCAAAGGGCTGAAGTCACTCTGGGACTGGCAGAAAGGCGATGTTCTCGCCTTGTACACACCCAACTGTATCGACACACCTGCGATAACATGGGGTTGTCACTGGGCAGGAGGTGTTCTCTCTCCAGCAAACCCGAACTACACAGTTGAGGAACTTGCATTCCAACTCAAGGATTCTGGTGCAAAGGCGCTGGTAACCCAACTGCCTTACATCAAGAATGCGCAAGAGGCTGCGAAGCAAGTTGGGATTCCTCTTGATCGCGTCATCGTGATGGGCGATCAGAAGGACCCGTCTTACAAAGTGAAGCACTTCACTAGTATCGTCAATACGGCTGGAACCTCTAGATGGCGGAGAACAAAGGCCAGCAACCCATCAGAGGATCTGGCGTTTCTGGTGTATTCCAGTGGAACTACAGGTCATCCGAAGGGTGTAATGTTGACCCACCGGAACATCGTCGCCAACACCATGATGATCAAAGCTGGAGAGGCTGGTAAACTGCAGCCAACTGGCGGACCAACTGGCGAAGGTGACAAACTGCTGGCTTTTCTGCCTTTCTTTCACATCTACGGTAAGTATTCGTTTACACCTCGTCTAGACTGTCCCCACTAACTGTGTGTAGGCCTCACTTGCCTAATTCACCAGAGCTTGTATTCTGGGCTCCAACTTGTTGTAATGCCGAAGTTTGATCTGGAGGACTTCTGCAAGTTCATTCAGGAGCTCAAGATTACGTTTGCTTACGTAGTACCGCCAATCGTTCTACTGCTCAGCAAGCATCCTTTGGTATCGAATTACGACCTGAGCTCAATCAGGATGATGAACTCCGGCGCGGCGCCTTTGACGAGAGAGCTCGTAGAGGCAGTCTACGGCAGGTTGAAAATACCGGTTAAACAAGGATACGGTTTGTCAGAAACTAGCCCGACAACGCATACCCAACCATGGGAAGACTGGAACAAGACCATCGGATCCGTAGGAAAGCTTCTGCCCTACCAGACGGCAAAGTACATGTCTCCTGAAGAGAAAGAGATGGCAGTCGGCGAGGTTGGCGAACTATGGATCAAGGGTCCGAATGTTTTCAAGGGCTACCTCAACAATCCTGAGGGAACTGCTCATGCGAAGACAGCTGACGGTTACTTTAAGACAGGCGATGTCGGGTATCAAGATAAAGACGGAAACTTCTTCATCACCGACCGCGTGAAGGAACTCATCAAGTACAAGGGATTCCAGGTGCCACCTGCGGAGTTGGAGGGTATCTTGGTCTCGCACCCAAAAATCAACGACGTAGCCGTGATCGGAGTCTACTCGAAAGATGATGCCTCTGAACTACCGCGCGCCTACGTCGTACCCAAGGATGGGCTCGGCAAGACCGATGAAGACGCGAAGGAAATCATAGACTGGTTGAGCGCAAAGGTCGCACACCACAAGAGACTACGTGGTGGAGTGAGATGGGTTGATGAGATACCCAAGTCTGTGAGCGGTAAGATCCTCAGACGGATGCTTAAGGTGAAGGCGCAAGAAGAGGAGGACGCCAAGACCAAGGCGAAGTTGTAGACTGCCTTTACCTTAGAAGGTGCTATGTATATTAGGATCTACCAATCTTTACCAGCTAGACCTATGCTTCTCCGTTTGACTATTAACTCTTCCACTCTTCCGTCACCATATTCCTTCTCATCTGAAACGTCTGAGAGAACTTACTCTCTGCCTGTCAAGCCCGTGAGAAGGTCCCCAAAAACAACAGCTACGAACATGCAGAGTAAGTCAGACTTCAATACGAAGCTACATAGACTCTTGCAAACTAACAGTGTCGCAGCTCCAAGTGCGACTCCGAATCCTAAAGCTACGACCAAACGGAATGCGGATGTGATTGACCTGGAAGTCATCGAAGAAAGGCTGGTCAAGAAGCCATTCAAACCAATCGTCAAGAGCCCAGCCCAAAAGGAAGAAGACTCCCTTTATCGCGTCTCGGTCACAGTACACCCTGACCTCGACAACTTTCCCGACGCCTTGCGTCATGCCCTTCAAGAAGCTTGTCAAACCGCGTTTTACACCCACATGTTCGCGCTCCAAGCTGGCAAATTAGCCAAGCATCACCAGATGTACAACATCGTAGCGGGAACACGCGTTCGGTCAGAGTCGATCACCTTCGAAAACACAACCGTATATTCGAATATCCTGGATCTTAGCGTGGCCAACATCACCCTGTTGAAATTCTTTGCAGCCCGTCCAAACGCCAGGCTCGAGAAGAAGTCATTTCAAGAGCAAAGGCATGAAGGACTCACCAATCCGGAGTTTCTGGAATTATACAGCGTGAGGAGGGGCGATTTGGGTTGGGGCTTGGATGCGGAAGGCGGTTTATCTATCTATGGATCTTCGCTTGTCAGGAAGAAGACAAAGGAATACGTCTGGTACGTCAGGAGTGCTGGTATCAAGCTCGAGGATGAGAGTTAAGGCTGTCAAAAGAAGCTCTTGAGACGCATTGGCAAGTTTGAGAGCAATGGATTGAATTCGAAAGGCGTTTGTTATGATGGTTCTTGATTTGGGAGTTGCTTGTGGAATGGTATACCCTAGTGTAATTTAACTGAGTGGTTGAGGATGAGGATTTGCCTTCTTGATCTTGCTTTGATTTTCGCTTGAGAAACCAGGGTTGCAAATATGAACGATCTGCATTGATGATGTTCACGCTGCGAAGGTCTTGACGATGTCATTTCTGTTCTTGTGAGAGCTTTCACGTACCAACAATCGCATTCAATCCAAGAGAGCGCTATCAGAAATTGTATGCGCATACGTTCATATCAGTGTTGGAGTATTTCGAGATGCAGGTCGTTGATTTCGTGGCTCCAGGATCATCGGGGGAGGGCACGTGCCTGCTTACAGCTAGCGCCATCTTGGCAACACCGCACAGCCGAGCCAAAATTACCCTTTCAAATCTGCGACTCTGAACTCATCGACAATCGACAACATCACGACCGTCACGATGCCGAAGGAAGTCAAGCAGAAGTCTGGCCTCATCGTTGGCCTTAACGCCGGCCACAGTACGTCACCCCGCCCGCCGCTCTCGATACGCACCGATCGCTACAATTAAGAAATTTCGTGGATGGAGGCTAACGCGGTCTATAGAGGTCACCCCTAGGACCCCCGCTCCCAGGATCTCGAGGAGGAAGGGTTTCCTCTCCAAGCGCACTGCGTTTGTCCGTGAGATCACCAAGGAGGTTGCCGGGTACGTCAAAGCTCGAACTTTCGCAGAGGGACTGCAGAACAGGTCATCGAACAGCATGCTAACTTCACGTGTCTACAGTCTTGCCCCATACGAGAAGCGCATCATCGAATTGCTCCGTAACTCCAAGGACAAGCGTGCCCGCCGTCTAGCGAAGAAGAGGGTACGTCTCTCACACCAGCACCACAACACGACCGATCTCCCACTCGCTCCACCACTTCCTACATACGAACATTCACTAACAAACCATAGCTCGGTACCTTCGGTCGCTCAAAGAGAAAGGTCGACGAGATGACCAAGGTCATCGCCGAGTCGAGGCGCGCTGGTCACTAAACGGTTTCACGATTTGCGGTGGATGAAGCAACACGGCGAACGAGCGACCGACTTACTTTCCGATTTTATCCTGGGTGTTCGGTCTCTTTTCACAACGGGCGGCCCGATACGATCTCGGAACGTCACAGCATACCACAAAAAGTATGACACGATTCATCGGAGTATGGCAAATGGACAATGGTGGTTCTTAAACGTACCTAGCATGTGTCACTCAAAATCATGAAATGTGACGATTGGTTCACGCCAAACCAACCTGTCCCCGGTGCACCTATGCGTGAGTGCGCGTGAGGTGTGATGCGTTGGTGATACCTACCTACTTAGCATGGATGTCAAATTCCTACTCTATTGCCCTTATCAATGGCAGAGTAAGGGCCGAGAAATGCTTAAATTGAAACGCGCCTTGCTTGGAGACAAGACTGCTCAGGCCTCACACATCCTTGTGTGTGAGTGAGGCCTCGAGCAGAGGCGCGGATATTCCAACTACTTACGTGATGTCTTCTTGTTACGCTCATAGAAAGCCTACGATGTGAGGCAGTACGTGATAGTCACCTCAAAGTCTCGGCCAAGCGAAGATATCAATGGACATGAACATCCCGTATCAATTCTAGGATCAAATATAATGCATTAACCGTTATGTCTTCCAAACCCCGTAAACACTCTAAGATGAGGGTATGTCACCCTACCGGCCTTGGCCATGACAACGTTGTTTAGTCGTCCTGACCAATCTTCTCCAACTTGCCGATTTCACGCTTCTCGCCAGTTTCGCCAATAAACCGGATACGGTCGATGCGCGTCTTCTCGCTATCACCCTCGGCATCCGCGACGAATAGTACTAATGAGTAGACGTTCTGGAACTTGACGAATCGCAGTTCCAGCTTGGCCGTCTGAGTCGCCTCGTCCCAATCTGATGGCTTCAGCTCGATTGTCTGAGTCGCTGGGATATCCTCCGCCTCCTCGAAGCCCAAGTTGTTCGCCCGGTTTGTCCAGACGTGAATGGTCTTTGGCCGTACTGGCGCCTCGTCGTCGTCGTCTTCGTTTCCGGAAACACAAGACGTGATCTGAATAGTGTGCACCTTCAGGTTGGCCATGAAGGGTACGTACAGCATAAGCTGGTTGTCCACATCACTTTCTACCCAATCCTTCTTGCCTTCTGAGCCAGTTGACGCGCCCTTACCCTTGTTGAGCGAGCTAGGTTGTGATGTCTCGAAGAGCGTCTTGACGGTGCCGAAATCGCTGTCCGCGTTGAGGAGGTCAAGACCTCGTGGGTCTACGGAGTCGGTCACATCCGTGTATCCGCGCGGTAGGCTGGCACCTATCCATGCACCACTTCCGCTACTACTTCCACCCGCACCAGAGGCGCTGCTTCCTCCCTTTCCGTCGTTCTCTGCTTCTGCGGCGAGGGTCTTGATCGCTTCGGAGAGTTGCTGGGGATTCGAGCCGGCGTATTTCTTTATCTGCTGATTGTTCTTGTAGATGATAAATGTAGGGGTGCTATATAACGTCAGGTATCGTTCCAGTACATCGTCTCAAAGGTGTGCATACTTGGTGACGTTGTAACTCTGTGCAATTTGTGCTTGCTGCACTGTGCTGACTTTGGTGAAGGTGACCTGCCCGGGCCGTGTGAGCTGGCCGGCTAGTTGCTCATATACGGGCGCAATGGCTTTGCTCGACGTGTTTTCTTCATTGTAGACTGCAAGTAACAGACGTTAGCATCCGAAGTTTGCCCAGTAGATGCCGGCCCGCTCCTTACAATTAACTACAACAACGCGCGAAGAGGAGAGCAGGGAGCTCAGCTGTGCAGGCGACTTGATCTCGACGGTTCCAGACATGGTTGTGGCGGTGTGGACGGGTTGGTTGTGTTGTTTGTGAAGGAGGCGCGACTTGGACGGAAGCTCTCTAGATTTAGTGGGGGCGGGGTGTTAGTATTCCGTCACCGACGATCAACGTGTAGGAGGGCAAGGTATACATCTGCAGGCACCAACACCTGAACACGCGGCAAAGCCACCTCGAAGCTTCCAGAACAACGCTACCGGCTGACGCTGCAATCGCGAACAGTCGACCGACTATCTGCTCCCTCAACATCACTGAAGCCTATAGAGGACGACCAGTTGCCGAGCCTATAAACGTTGGGTCGCCTTCGATATCAAGCGCACGCTTCCGAATCAACACCATCGTTATCGCCTAACAACCGCGTCTTTCACCGCGAAACCCGGTGATTGTATCATAACCTTCACACCTACAAAGGATTGGTAAGCGCCCCTATTGGCGTTCACCGTCCGCGACACTGTGTAAACACCCTCCTAATCGCCTCTTATGGCAGGCCCAAACAACCTCCTCCTCAGTTTCGCCGAAGCAAAGCTCCTCCACATCGCCAGCATTATTCTCCTGGTTGAACGAAGCGACGCAACTCGAAGAGCACATAGCTGGAACTGTTGGTACTCGCGCGCCATCTTGATAGCGAACGCTCCCGCTGCTTTCCTGCTCGCCTTCGGTCTCTACAGACTCATTCGCGCGTAATGTCGCACGTCGTAGTATTCAACTCGTACGCGAGGACTTTCAAGATTCCGACGACGCCCACCAAGTACCTGACGGAAGTACGGGACGAGGCATGCCAAAAGTTTGGTGTCAACAAGGATCAATTCACGCTCAAGTAAGTTAGAAGACACCATTCTGCTGGACAATTAGTGACTAAACCTCAGGTACAACAATAAACCCATCTCCCTATCGCAGCAAATACGGCTCGCGAACCTTCCCCAAGGCGCCCGATTAGAACTCGTCCAAGCCTCGCGATCGCCTACAGTCATATCCGTCGCGCTCCAGCTTCCCGCAACCGAGCAGAACAAACGCCTTACAAGCAAGTTCGCAAGCAACACTTCGTTATGGGAGATTCTACGACACTTCGAGAGTGGTCAGGGGACCAACTACAACTTCACACAGCGCGGCATCCCCGAGATGAGCGGTGCGTCCGGTGCTGGTAGGCTACATTACGAGCAGCCCGTCATAACCGTTATGCCAGGCCATAAGGAACAGTCCAACTTTGTCGAGCTGCAGCAGACTCTCAGTCAGCTGGGTTTCGATAGCGGATCGGCCTTGCTAAAGTTGTCGTACAAGAACAGCGGAACGCCACTGGAGGAGGTTATGGCACAGATCACACAGTACTTCAAGTCTAGTGAGCCTGCGTCTGCTGGTGCACATGGTGCACATGCTTCGACGACCGATCAACTAGCCTCAATACCGGATCCTGCCCAGGCAGCTCCGGAGTCGACAGAAGTCGTAGCGGGCGAAACTGTTCGCAACGAAGAGCCCGATCCAGAACCGATGGAGGTTGACTCCAAACCGGCTGCCCAGCCTATACAAGAGCCTGAAGTGTCTACAGAAAACAACGCGACTGAGAACGTGGAGAACACTTCGCCAGCGGCAGCATTGGCTGCGGCAACATCAACAGCGTCTTCTGTGCCTGTAGAGCCTACTCAAATTCCTGCACAACCCCCAAACGTCGTCACAGCCTGCTGAGCAATCCCGCAATGTACAGATCTTCTCTGCGCCAACATCGTCCACACCACAAGCGGCGCGAAATGCCTTCAACGAGAGCGACTACCTACCCACCATCGAGCACGCAAAGGCACACCAAAATGCGTTGTTGACCAAGACACGGAACACACGTCTACTATCCGACAAAGAGTTGGAGGAGCAAGAAAAGGAGCGACAAGCCAAGATTGATGCGGCAGCTGAGAAGGGTGGTGCACTCCGTATACGAATGCCAGACGGTGCGCTCATCCAGATGAACTTCAACAAGAGTGATACCGCAGTCGGTCTATATGACTTTGTGCGCGGCTTTCTCGAGAAGAAGAATGAGCCTTTCCAGCTCAAGAACACTGGTCCGACAGGCCGACTTGTTCTGATCCCACAAGACAACAAGCGCTTAGTGCATGATCTACGTTTCTTCAACAACGAACTCATTACTTTTCAATGGGCGGACAATGCTAGCGCCGAGGCGAGGGCAAGCCGGCATACTCTTTCGCAGGAGTGGCAAGCGAAGGCACAGGCGCTCAAGGTCGAAGAGCCAGTACGGGAGGAGAAGGCTCAACCTCAGGCTTCTCAGGGCCAGACGGTCGCGGAGGGCAAGCGCAAAGCTAATATGAGTAACGAGGAGAAGGAGAGCAAGCTGAAGAATCTGCTCGGAAAGGGCTTGTTTAAGAGGAAGTAGAACTTTAGCAAGTAGGGATGTGATTGTAAACAGTCATGTAGTTTCAGATGAGCATTTTCTGGGAGTTTGTCATCGGCGACGGAGCGCTTTCTTTTTTCGAGTGCAGTGTGGAATGGCATTTGGAAGCTAGTCATTAGTAGCGAACAAGAATTTTGACATCGGAAATATGGCATAAGTTGTTAGGGTGCCTGCGCACAAGGTGTGTATATGACCTGTATGTAACCTCCATGTGGAGGATCTGAACGGAACTGGCGACGCGCTTTCCTAGGTGACTGGCTAGCGCAAGACGCGGTCTCGCCAGGCCAAACCTTGAGCGACTATGTCTCTTTCATCTCACCCCTATTGTGCTGTCATCACCATCGTCTATTCCGTCAGGATACCGGCATGTAATGCCCCTTTGGATGCGATAGACCCACCTTGGTTAGTAGACTTGGCTGACAATATGTGTTCTGATATGTCGCGCGCCGCAATGGTACCAAGCGAAGGCGGATGGAAACCCATTTGTGAGAAAGTATAGACATGGCATTTCATCTCTGGTGTATTGGATTGTAGAATTGGCGGCATACAAGAGCAAGGACGGTGTGGCCTGTGAAGATCAGCCGGGAGTCGTTCTTTGGGTTGAACACGCAACATAAGATGATGCACTTGATATGGTCTCGGATGACGTTGATAACTAAATGGGGCTACAAGAACATGCAGTGTACTGGAAGTAGCTTCTGACAATACTTCTTCTGGAAATTTGTTCGCTTCTACAAATTCGGATGCAGTGTGCTACTTTCATGATCGAAGGCAAGGCGTCTCTCCTTCACCTTGCACTTCGATGACCAAAGTCGGAGCGTTGCTCTGCCCAAGTTAGCCGCAATCTTCACATTCACCTTCACCACTCACTTAGCAGGCTCAGCAGATAGCTGTTGGTTTCAGCTCCATGGCTCCATTGCCCAAACACGACAATCTAACGGCTTCTACAGGCAAGGTGTGTACGCGGCACACATTTGCCCGGCAGATACGGACACTGATACGAGCAGATTAACGCGCAACACATTGTCGAATTCGATCCGGACAGCATGGATGATATTGTCTTCGTTCGGTCGGTCGAGAAGCGACGTGCTCCGCCACTCGGCGGTGGTTCTTCAGCAAAGCGCGCAAAACTCAAGAACGTTCCAGCGGAGGCTGTTTCTCCTAGCTCTGCGACCAAGCAAAAAGCCGACAGCAACGGGGCCCAAACGGCAGGCTCAGATGTCTACCCCAAATTGCCTCGGCCAGAACAGCAGGAGCCAGAACAAGAGGAGTCCTTCTTGCTCGCGACACGCAATGCCCTGGAACAAGCATTAGGCAAAGAAGCCTTGGAGGCTCACGAGAAACTTCTGGTCAAGGAGAAAGAGAGCAAGGAACTGTACATCGTGAACCTAGAAGAGGCAGTGAAACAGCAGTACGGGACACCTGTAGTGCACGACATCCTCATCCAGAATCAGATGGCCATTTTGAAGGTGAAGGCTGAGGGACACGACGAAGCCGCCAAGACAGAGATCAAACTCCTTCGCGAAAGCAACACGAAGCTTAGAGGAGAGACGACCACACTTGGACGCTGTGTTCGACTACTCACAGACGAGAACATCGTTCTGAAGAGACAACACGAAGGCACCAGAGCGGAGATTCAGATACTTTACGAACACAACACCAAGCTTACAGAGGAGAACACTGCACTTGCACGCAACATCGGACTACTCAAAGATGGGGATGGTACTTCGAAGGCTAAAAGACAAGAAGAAGCCGCTAGAACAGCAGAAATCAAGAGCGTTCGCCAATACAAAACGAAGCTCGCAGATGAAAAGGCCGCACTTGTACGCAGGGTCAAGCTACTCAGTGACGAGCATGATACTCTGAGAGCCGAAATCTCCGCTTTAACCCAGGACGTCGACGAGCAGAAGAGACTCTGTAAATCCAAGATGCGTGAATCTGACAGCGAAATGAAAGCCGCGGCAACCAAAAGCAAGAAATTCAGAGAGAAGTTCAAGAACAGCAACAAAAAGTTGACCAAGAAGAACACCGACCTGTCACGGAAGATTGTGGAGCTAGAAAGTGGTCATGCAGCCGAAGTTCTCGAAGCACGTGTCCGCGTTAGAGAACTTCAGGGTCAAGTCGAAAAACTAGAGCAAGGCTTCCGCCAGCGAGGCGAACAGCTTATCGAGCTCAGCCGGGACTCCGTATTGAAGGACAGGATCAAGATGCAGAAGGAGGCAGCTATTGAAGCCAAGGACCTGCTACAGAAGCGTATGTCGGGCATGTTCAAGAACTACCAAGCTCTCTTCAAGAAGAACAAGATTCTGCTGAACAAGCTGGTCTTGGCGGCTGATGAGGGAAGGTTCGGAGACGGAAAAAAGGCAAAGATCTACCGTGAAGGGCTGAAGCTACTAGAAGGTCAACCACTTGAAGGGCTATACGAGTTCAAACATCAGGTCTGATCTGCTTTGTCGGCGAACCTATACAGTGAAGAGAGTATGTAACTCCTATAGGGGGCTTTTCGTCGCGGTGGTTCAAGCAGACGTTTGGTGGAAGAAACGACGGCATGACGAGAGTCGCTCAGTGTGTAGTGCCGTTCATGCCGTCACACAAGGAGAGGAGTTCGTCGGCGGTGTCATGCTGGCCGCCCTTCGTGTCATCCAGCCGGTTTGTCGCCTTCCAAAGAAAAAGAAAAAGTGTAGGGATGTAACAGCCCGCTAATAAACCTCGAATGTGTCCGTGTTTCCTAAGTCTCTTGGTCGCGTAGTGATCGTGGCGTTGTGATATATCTAGAGAGCGCCTGTGGGATCGTTGGCTTAAAGAGGAGGCGGTCTAGCTGCGCTTTCCTAGGTCGCATGTCGCACATGGCTGGGAAACAAGATCTTAGATGTTGAAAACCAGCTGGCTCTTGCCAATCCATCAGAGGATTGAAAGATTGGAGAAGAACTTGAGACAGTTATATGTGGAAGCGTCAGAACGTTAATACTTTATTCATATTAGACAGGAATAGCAGTGGCTTACAATGAGTGCGCAAGGTGTCTACGGCCATCTGAAGAGATCATTTGCTGAGCTACACCACAATCTTACCCTCATCACCGAGTTTGCGCTATCTTCTATGCTAAATCACGAGAAGATTCCAAAGATTGCCCTCTCACCTACGTGCATGCTCGCTTGACTTCCAAGGTTCCGCCCAAGCAAACCAGACGATGGGATATATGAACAATGCACAAGAAGACAACATGGACAACAGTAGAAACGCAAAAATGCCACCTTCCACTAAACATGCTCCGAAGCAGCAGCAAGTTCCAGCACCCACTGTTCAAGAGGAAGTCGTAGCCATTCTCCAGCATGTCACAGCCATAGAGAATGAAATTCAAGAAGTGAAGGGCAAGCTCCATGGCCTACGTGACCTCGAAGAAACGCCTTCCTCCGTCAGGAAGACTCCTCATGTGTCTACTTCCGAAGCCAATAGAAAAGGGGACGATGGAGACGAAGAAAACGAAGAGGACGGAGGAGATAAGGAAGAAAGAGGCGAAGAAGAAGACGAAGTAGACAAGAGAGCCGCAGCAGACAAGAAAGACAAAAAGGTCAAAAGGAAATTCTGCCACACTTGTAGGAACAAGATGGAAGCTGATGCTAAATCGAACTATGTGAATTGTGAGACGTGCAGGGATAAGGCCACGATAAGATGGAAGGCAAGCAAGCTAAAGAGGGAGGCGGAGAATGAGAGGAAGAAGGAAGAACGTAAGCAACTTAAAAAGCAACGTGCAGCGGATGCTCCAGGCAAGACTTGAACTCTGCATCATCATGTAGTTAGATGTTCAGCACCATCGGAATCCTCATATTGATCATTCCAAATGTAGATAACCTAAGATGAAGTACCCCTTCCCCATCCTTCGCTCATATTCATGCCTGTCCAGGACCCAATCGCTCAATGCCATGGTATAGTGCCCGAATGAATGACGCCAGTAAATGCCTTGATAAAAAGCTCGCTGAACCAGTTTTGATGCCGCTAAAAACAGACTTGAAAACAAATATACGCTCATCATGCTCACATTCCCCGAATGGTTGTACCCGTCCAAAACTAAAAGAGTGTCATGTCCAAAACACCGATAGAGGATAATACATAAGAAAAGTTTATCGTGGCGAAATGCCATTCTAGATAAGAGGACCTGCCATCATAGGACTACCACGTGTATTGGTCGTCAGTGTTGGTTCGTATGCCGCTGGTGAGCCTGACGAAGAACCTGGTCGTGGGCGGTAGTAGCTGTTTGCGTATGCCGTCGGAGGAGCAATGTAGGCTCCCTGTTGCGGTGGGAGGACGCCAGGTGGTGTGCCATTGAGCATATTGCGATTGCTACGGCGTCGGCCGAGGACTGGTGATGCAGGAGCGCCTTGGACCGTCCCTGTAGAGTTGATGGACTCGTTCGAGTTACTCCTCACATGTTGTGCCGTGGTTGGTTGCTGCATTTGAGGAGAGCCAGTAGGGTTCGCTGGACGCTGGAAACCTTGGGTGAAAGGATTTGTACGAGCTGGCACACTGGTGTCTCGCTGACCAAGTGCTTGCCTTCTTGTCTCAATAAGTTCCCGAGCTCTGAGGTTGCGCTCGTCTGGAGTTAATCCGACAGGACGGGCGGCAGGCTGTACAGTAGCTTGTACATTTTGCGTAGGCGATGGTGGAGGTCTACCATTCCCATCGGCGCGCAAGGTTCGTGTAGATGCTTGGGGGGCGAGCTGACGCCGCGATGGCTGTGGTCGTAGATTGAGACGTGATGGCTGAGGCCTCATGCCTTGCGGTGGGTTGCCAGCTTCTCTGATGTTGACACGAGAGCCTGCTGGCCGCAAGGTAGCTACAGAAGACTGATCTCGGAGAACTTGACGTGAGTTGCGATTGCGGACACCTCGTGCCTGCACGAATGCAGCCCAAGGGTTACCACGTGCAGCAAAAGGTGGAAGAGCCGCGCCTTGAACATGCAAGCCCATGGCAGCATGAGGAAATG